TACCATAAAGAGTAATGGAGTATCCACACATGCTACAACATGGATGAACCTTAAAAATATGTTCAGTGAAAGAAGCTAGACACAAAAGTCCACATGTTGTATGACTCCATTTGCATAAAATGTCCACAATAGGCAAATCTATAGAAAAAGTAAGTCGATTAGTGGTTGTCTAGTTCTTGGTGAGATGTGTGTGTATAGGCAAATAGGAAGTAACTGCTAATCTGTAGGATGTTTCTTCCTTTGGTTATGAAAATGTTCTAAAATTTATGTGATGATGGATGCATAACTTTGTGAATGTGCTAGAACTACTGAATTGTACATTTTAAAATGTTAAATTTTATGGTATGTAAATTAGATTTCAAATAAATTAGAGATACAGAACATTTTCTTCACAAGGACCCCATATGCTACACTTTATAGCTTCAATCACCTCCCTCCCATATCTTCTCCTTAATGAATGACAGCCACTAATATGTTCTCCATCTCTATAATTTCATCATTTCAGGAATGCTGTGGAATCATAAAATATGTAAAATTTGTCATTGACTTTTTTACTTGATACCATTAAATATGTTGAATTTATCTAGAGTCCATTCCTTTTTGTGGCTGAGAAACATTCTATGATATGGATATGCCAGAGATTCTTTACACCTGTTTTAAAAAAATACTTTTATGTTGTTTCCATTTTTGTTTTGCTATTACAAATCAGACTTTGATCATTCATGTACAAGTAATTGTGTGAAAGTTACTCTGATTTCTCTGGCGTAAATGACCAAAAGTGAGTGCAAAAATCTCAGTTATATGGTAAGCATATATTTAGTTTTGTAAAACACTGGCAAATTATTTTCCAGAGTTGTTGTACCATTTTTTATTTATGCCAAAAATGTATGAGTAATAGCTTTTTTGATCCTCGTCAGCATCTGGTTTTATCACTATTTCATATTTGACCATCCTGATAGATATATAGTGATATCTCATTTTAGTTTTAATGATTTTTCCCTTGGTGGCTAATTATGTTAAATATGTTTTTATTCATATAATTCCCTTCAATGACATGTTTATTCATGTAATTTGTCTTTCTAAAATTTTATTGTTTCTTTTTTTTTCCTATTGATATTTGAGGGTTTATAATGTATTTTAGATAATACAGCTTGCAAAAAAAATTTATCCCATTCTGTAGCTTGTCTTGTTCTCTTCACTTGGGCTTGCATGTAGGAAATAATTCTACTTTTGATGAAGCTTTGTTTATCAGTTTTTTCTTTTGTGGATCATGCTTTTGATGTTAAATCTAAGAACTCTTTGCCTAGCCCTGGGTCTCAAGATGTTATTACATTTTATTTAAAAGTTTTATAATTTTGCATTTTACATGTCTATTATCCATTTTGAGTTCATTTGTATATAGGTGTAAGGGTAAGATAGAAGTTTACTTGCTATATATGGATGCCAAATTGCTTTAGCACCATTTGTAGAAAAAGCTACCGTTTTGTCATTGAATTGATTTTTCTCCTTTGTCAAAGATCTGTTGGGCATATTTGTATGAGCCTATTTCTGTATTCTGTAACCTGTGACATTAATATATGTATTTATCCCTCTGACAATATGCCACAGTGTCTTGGTTACTGTTGCTATATAGTAAACAAGTATCAGGTAAAGAGAGTTTTTTCTTGCTTTATTCATTTTTTTTCCCCCAAAATTGTTTTAACCATCTTCTGTACTGTTAGTTCTATATAAGTTTTACAATAAGTATGTCTATTTCTACAAAAATCTTTTTGTGATTTTGACAAGAATTGCATTAAAGCTATAGGTAAATCGGAGGAGAATTAACATATTGCCTATGCTGAGTTATTCAATCCATGAACACAGTGTATCTGTCCATTTAATTGTCTTCTTTAAATTTTTTTTAATCAACATTTCCTAATGTTCAAAATGCATATGCTTATATGTTTTTCTAGATTATATCTAAGTTTTTCTCCTATTTATATTATTGATTTCAGTTTCTACTTGTTCATTGTCAGTACATAAAAATGTGGTTAAATTTCTGCATTGGTTATCTATCCTCCAACTTTGTTGAAATCTTCATGGTTTTAAGAGAGCTTTTCTGTTGTTGTTGATAATGTGATGATTCCTTGAGATTTTCTACACATCCAATTATATTATATGTAGATAGGAACTATTTAATTTATTGTCCAATGTATATGCTTTTTATTTACCATTTCTTGTCACTTCGTGCTGGCTAAAAACTTCTAATACTATGTTCAATAATAGTGGTGCAAGTGGACAATCTATCCTAAATGGAGAGCATCTATTTAGATTTCCACCATTAAATTGAAAGTTTCAGGTAGGTTTCAGGTAGCTGCAGCTTTCAGGTAAACGTTCTTTTTTTAACAGATTGAGAAAGTTAATAAAAATTAGAACAGAATCAAATAAATTAGAGAACAAAAAGAATATACAAAATGAATATATCCAAATAATATTTCATTGTGGAAATGCATCACAGTTTTTTTATCCACTCATCTACTGATGGACACTTGGGTTGCTTCCAAATCTTGGTTATTGTAAATAAGAGTGCAATGAACATAAGGGTGCATATATTCTCTCAAATTAGTGTTTGGAGTTTCTTCCAGACAATATTCACAAATTAATAAATGTGATACATCACATAAACAAATTGAAAGACAAAAATCACATGATCATATCAATAGACATGGAAAAAGCATTTGACAAAATCCAGCACCCATTTTTGATAAAAACTCTCAGAAAAGTCAGAATAAAGGGATCATACCTAAACATAATAAAGGCCATATATGACAAACTTACAGCCAATATTGTACTCAATGTGCAAAAACTACAACCATTTGCCCTAAGAACAGGAACAAGATACGGATGTCCACTTTCACTACTCTTATTCAACATTGTACTGGAAGTCTTGGCCACAGCGATCAGACAAGAAGAAAACATAAAAGGCATCCACATTGGAAAAGAGGAAGTAAAACTGTCATTATTTGCAGATGACATGATATTGTACATAGAAAACCCTAAAGACTCCACCAAAAAACTACTAGATTTAATAAATGAATTTTGCAAGGTAGCAGGATACAAAATTCACCCTCAGAAATCTTCAGATCTAATGAATAAAATGAACTAATAAACAAAATGGAAACAGACTCATAGATAGAAAACAGACTTCCAGCTGTCAGACAGTAGCAAGGTTGTGGGGCTGGGTAAAAAAGGTGAAGAGATTAAGCAAAAAATGAAAAGAAAAAAAGTCCTTATAGACAGACAACAGTATGGTGATTACCAGAGGGGGAGAGGGATGAGGGGAAATATAAGAGGATATAGAACCTCGCTCATATGGCTCAGTGGTTGAGCATTTACCTATGATTTGGGAGATCACAGTTAGATTCTTGGTTAGGGCATATGCCTGGTTTGTGGGCTCCATCTCCCAATGTGGGGCATGCGGGAGGCAGCTGATTAGTGACTCTCTCTCATCATTGATGTTTCTCTCTCTCTCCCTCTATCTTTCTCTGAAATCAAAGTGTATTATGTATAAAAAAGGTATACAGGGAATAAACGGTGATGGAAGACTTGAATTGGGGTGGTGAACACACAACACAATATACAGTTGATGCATGAAAGAATTGTACACATGAAACCTATATAATTTTATTAACCAATGTTACCCCAATATATTTAATTTAAAAAATAAAATAAAAATTAGTACAACGAAGAGCTGTCTCTTTGAAAAGATTAATAAAATTGACAAACCCTTGGCTAAACTCACTAAGGAAAAAAGAGAAAAGACTCAAATACACAAAATCAGAAATAAAAGTGGAATTACCACGTATATCACAGAAATACAAAGGATCATACTAGAATACTGTGAAAGGCTATACATCACCAAATTCAATAAACTAGAAAAAATGGATAAATTCCGATAAATATATAACCTTCCTAGAATAAAAAATGAAAAATTGGAATACCTCATAAGACATATCAACAGCAAAGATATTGAAACAACAATAAAAAACCTCCCCAAAAGTAACAGATGGCTACACTAGTGAATTTTACCAAGCTTTTAAAAAACATTTGATGCCTATCCTTCTCAGACACTTTCAAAAATTGAAGAAGAGACAATGCTTCTTAAAACATTTTATGAAGCCAACACAAACCTGATTTAAAAAAACAAAAAACCTGGCAAGAATAACTCAAGGAAAAGTAAAGACCAATATCTCTGATAAATAGAGGTGCGAAAATCCTAAACAAAATTCTAACAAATCAAATACAACAGTATTTAAAAAGTAAAACATTGTGATCAAAAAGAGTTCATTATAGCACAAACATATTTCAACATACACAAATTAATAAATGTAGTACACCACATTAACAAATAAAAGATAAAAATATGATGTTATCAATAGATGCAGAAGAAACATTTGATAATATACAACAGCCATTTATGATTAAAACACTCAATAAAAAGCGTATAGATGAAAAGTACCTCATTGTAATAAAGGTCATATACAACAAAGCCTCTGCTGATATCACTCAATAGTAAAAAACTGAAAGCTTTTCCTGTAAGGTCAGGAACACAACAAAGATGTTCACTCTCACCACTCTTATTCAACATAGATCTGGAAGTTCTAGCCAGAGCAATAAAGTAAGAGGGGGGAAAAAGAAAGGCATCCAAATTGGAATGAGGAAGTAAAAGTGTCACTTTTTGCAGATGACACAATTCTTTACATAGAAAACCCTAAAGACTTCACCAAAAAACTATTAGAAAAAATACACAAATACAGTAAAGTTGCAGGATAAGAATCAATGTACAAAAATCCACTGCTTTCCTATATACTAACAAACTTCAGTAATCAAAATGAGAGGGTATGTGTGGGCCAGGAGTTGGTGGAATTTTACCTGGTGGTCTCCTTTCTTTGTGAGGCTTTGCCTACTTCAGGCTCAGTGCCAGAGAAGTTGCACACCTATCTTCGTGCCAATTTCTTACAATGGGCAACTCCTGCTTTGGCCTCAAGGAAAAGCTGCTGCAGCTGCTGCGACCTCAGCCCACTCTGCTCATCATGCCCCAGAGGAAACCCAACGATCTCTGCATAGTGATCCTCGGCTCCCCTGATGTCGGCAAGAGTTCACTGGTGAAGAGATGGGTGAGCGGCTACTTCCGTGAAAAGTATGTGCCAACTATGGAAGATACCTACCAGGATGTGCTGGCAGCTCTCTCAGCGTGAGCAGCACGCTGCATATTACCGACACTGCTGGCGGTCACCGCTACCCGGTTTTGCAGAGCCTCACCATTTCCAGGGGCCAAGCCTTCCTCCTGGTCTACTCTGTAACCAGGAAGCAAACTCTGGAAAAGCTGAAGCCCTTCTATGAGCTGATCCACGAGGTCAAAGGAAGAAACCTGGGTAAGTACCCTCTCGTGCTGATAGGCAACAAATGTGACGACATCTACCGCTGGGAGCTGAGCGCCGCAGATGCTGTCGGCTTTGCCATGGAGTGGAATTCCACCTACCTGGAGACCTCTGCCATGATGGATATCAATGTGCAGGAGATGTTTCACTTGCTGCTGAACCCGGAGGAAAAGCAGCCCGCCGCCAGTGCCCAGCCTACCCAGAAGAAATCTCAGATGCCCAATATCGTGGGGAAGCTGTTGGGTAAGTGCATCATAATGTAAACCCTGGATCCTAAGAGCCGGACCTTCTCAGTGTGTAGAGAACATTGACCAATGCTAGTGCAGTGTGTCACCCGTACATGTTAATGCTGTAGTTTCGGTTGTAACAGCTAGACGTATGTGTTCCTTGTAAGTTAGTAATTTGTCTTTTTCTCAGGCAAGAAAATGCAAATTGTTATAACATTTGACACTGGAGGAGGGAAAAAAGGGGGACTAAGTCTTGACGGACTTCAGAGACTAATGTTTGAAAAAGAGAATGAAGAATAGCAAAATTGAAAGATGTCACTGCCCTTATTATAACCCTATTATGTATTAATTGTTAAACATTTCAAGTTCTGTAAACGTCCAACCAAACCTTCACATTGTGTACTTAGTGAAATGTGTTTCTGCAACAAAAGCTTTGCTAAATGACTCTGAGACAGGTGTACTAAATTAGATAAATAAATGAATATTCTATAGCTGTGCATTGAGGGTGGGGGCAGAGAAAATTACGAAAGTGGAACGTGCTTACTAAAGATACATCAATTTCTTATGTCATTTAAAAATGGTTGAAAAATCCATAGCAGTTTATAAAAACTATAATAGTTCTGTGACTTAATAAAGCTTTTCCTGCATGTGAAAAAAAATAATAGAAATGAAACAATTCCTATTACAATTACAACCAAAGGAATAAAATGTCTAGAAATAAAGTTAACAAAGAATGAGAAGGACATATATACTGAAGACTACAAAGCATTATTAAAGGAATTGAAAAGATACAACGGAATGGAAAGATATTCCATGTTCATGGATTGGAATAATTAACAGTTAAAATGGCCATATTACCCAAAACAATATACAGATGCAATGCAATCTCCATTAAAATCTCAATGTCATTTTTAAAAAAAATAGAACAAAAAGATCATTGGATTTGTATGGAACCCCAAAAGGCCCCGAATATCCAAAGCAATTTTGAGAAAAAAAGAACGAAGCTGTAGTTTTCACAGTAACTGAATTCAAAATACACTACTGAACTACAGTAATCAAAATAGCATGGTATTGGCAGTGAAACAAACACAGAAGACCAATGAAACAGAATTGAGAGTCCAGAAATAAAACCACATGTATATTGACAAATAATTTTTAACAAAGGAGGCAAAAACATTCAATGGACAAAAGAATGCCTCTTCAATAAATGGTGATAGGAAACTTGGAAAGACACATGCAAAAAAATAAAACTAGATTACACTTTTCCCATGTACAAAAATTCAAAACAGATCAAAGTTAAAAATATAAGATCCAAAAGAATAACTTACATAGAAGAAAACAGGTACTAAATTCATGGACTTTGGTCTTAGAGAATATTTTTTGAATTTGACCCTGAAGGCAAGGGAAGTAAAGGCAAAAATAAATGAACAAGACTATTGCAAACTAAAAAGGTTCCGCACAGCAAAAGAAACCAACAACAAAACAAAGAAGCAACCAACCAAATAAGAGATGATATTTGCAAACAGCAGCTCCAACAAGAGGTTAATATGCAAAATATGTACAGACTTTATACAACTCAACACCAACCTAATTAAAAAATGGGCAGAGTACCTGAACATACACTTCTCCCAAGAAGACATACAAATGGCCAACAGATACATGAAAGTATTTCCAACTTCACCAGCTATTAAGAAAATGCAAATCAAAACTGTTTTGCATTTTCTTAATAGCTAGTGAAGTGAGATACCAACTAATACCTGTTAGAATGTCTATTATCAATAATAATGGTAATAACAAGTGCTGGAGAGGTTATGGAGAAAAACGACCCTCATTCACTGCTGGTGGAAATGTAAACTGGTACAGTCACTATGGAAAACTGTATGGCAGTTCCTGAAAAAATTAAGAATATAGTTACTATGTGATCCAGTAATTCCTCTTCTGGGTACCTACCCAAAAAACTCAAAAACATTTATTTGTAAAGATATATGCACCTCTATGTTCATCGAAGCACTATTCATGGTGGATAAAACATGGAGACAAACAAAATGTCTTTTGATAAAGGATTGAATAAAGAAGATGTGGAACATTTACACAATGGAATACCACTCAGCCATAAGAAAAGATGAAATACTGCCATTTGTGACAACATGGATGGAACTTGAGAATATTATGTTAAGCAAAATAAGTCAGAAAAAGCTAAGGACCATATGATTTCACTCTTATGTGGAATATAAAACTAAAATTCATAAACACACACATCAGCGTGATGGTAACAGAGGGAAGGGGGTGAGGGTATAATAAAATATAAAGCAGGCCAAATATATGGTAATGGAAGTTGGTTTGACTTTGGCTAGTGGGCACACAATGCAATATACAGATACTGTATTATAGAAATGTATATTTGAAACCTATATGATCCTATTAAACAACACCCCCCCCCAATAAATCTAATAAAATAGAGCTACTATTTACTGCTTACAGTCCTGTGGCTTCAACCCTTGATTCCCCAAGACCATGTTTTTTTCTAACAATTGATTTAATCACCCTTTCTTTCAGAAAACTTTCTGTCCATATTTTTTTATTTGTTTATCACATACAAATAAAATAAAAGTATGTAACATTTTCAGAGTATCTCATTTCAATTAAAAATAAGCAATTAAATTTCATTTATGTTTTATGCAGTTTGATAGTTTACTCTGTTTTATTACAGAATAGTATTCCATTGTATGGATATATTACAGTTTGTTTACTCATTCACCTGGGAATCCTGTGGGATTTTTGTCCCTCAGTTTTTGGTGATAAGAAAGCTGCTATTAACAGCAGCTTAGTGTGTTCATGTTTTTGTATTAACAAATTTTCAATTCACTTGTGTGAAGACATATGAGTGGGATTATTTGGTCATATCATAATATGAGGCTTAACTTCATAAAGAACTGCTAAATTGTCTTCCAAAGTAGTTGTAATGTTTACATTCCCACAAACAACAAAGTTCCTGTAGGTACACATTTTTTTCAGCAAATGATATTATGGATTGTATGTATTTGTTAGGGGCAGAGATGTTGATCATGCTGTTGACTGTGATTGTTAACTATAGTTATAAGAAATATTAATCATGTTCTGTTAATTGTGATTATTCTGTTCTAATTAGAAAAAGCACTTTTTAACCTGGCTGGGAGTTGTGTGCCTCAGGACATGAGAATAACCATTGGAATATCGTCCAGTCTCCTTTTTCGAGAACTATCGTCATGGAAAGATTAACAACCTTGTTCCCGAAGTGATGGAATCCTAGAGGCACCTGTCCTTTGCGACCCCCAGCCCACCTTCCCTAATTCCCCATGCCACTAATTCCTACTTTCCCATGTAATCTTTGTTCTTCTACCCAATATAAGCACCTGGCTTGTGGGGAGCAGCAGAGATTTTATGTTGACAAATCCTGCTGCTCTCCCAATTTGCTGGCAATATTGAAATAAATGCTCATATATGATTCAGCCCTGTCTCTGCTTAATTGGCTCAAGTGGTGATGGACAGGCTGGACCCATTGTTGTCCAGTTTCAAATTTAGCCAATCTAATTGGTTTGTAGTGATATAACATTGTTGTTTGTAGTTTTTAAAAGTTTCCAAGCTCCCCAGTATAAGACTCTGTACTACAAAAAGTTTGGAATCAATTACAAATCAATATATGCACAACAGACCTTTTGAGTTGATTGGGGCTATATTAAGATCAAGTGGGATATTTATTTATCTTAGTTGACATTTCCTACAAGACTGGTACTGATACTAATCTATACATAGAGAGAAATGTTATTCAAATAAAAGTCAAAGTTCAAACACCAAGTGAAAAATCTCAGGGAAAGAAAACACCATTTGATCTAACTCAAAAAAGTATTTTTTAGTCTGGCTGGCATGGCTCAGCAGTTGAGAATTGACCTATGATACAGGAGATCTTGGTTCAGTTCCCAGTCAGGGCACAAGCCTGGGTTGCAGGCTCAGTCTCCAGTGGGGGGCATGCAGGAAGCAGAGGATCAATGACTCTCTCATCACTGACATTTATATCTCTCTCTTCCTCTCCCTCTCTCTGAAGTTAATAAAGACACATTTTTTTTTTTTAAAGGTATTTGACTCTATTTAAAAAAAGCATTTTAAAAATATATTTTATTGTTGAGAATATTACAGAAGTACCTGCTGTCTACAGGATATTACATTAGGAAATACAGTAAATTCAAGGATGACTGTGAAAAAATTCTTTTTAACAAGTCTTTACAAAATCTTTTTTTACTTCCAGAAAGACTTTCCTGATACATTTTATACTGTTGGGTTAGATATCCTTTTCTGCATACACAGAGCATATTAGGCTATAACTTGATAAATTTTGTCAATATAAGAAACATTCAAGCCTGTGAAGAATTTTTGTGAGTTTATTTGAGCCACACTGTTGACAATTGCCAGTAAGCAAAATCTCAACAGATTGAGATAATGCTCCAGAGAATGTCAACTTTACACCTAATTTTATACATTACAATCAAAAGAGGAGACATAAGTGGGTTACCTAAAATCCATTGGTGATAGATTAGGGAAGCAGGAGAAAGCAAAGTGGGAAAATCTCTGGGATGGGATAAAAAGTAAAATGATGGACACACACTTCTTTTACTTATGTGGGTGCAGGATAGTTAACAGTCAACAATTAACTCAATAGCAATGAGGGGATTTGTGGTCTCCACAGAGCACTGCCTGTGCTTTTGAGTGTTCCAAAAAAGGGAAAATTACTTTGACATTCCAAAAATATGTTATCATAGATGCAAAATGACAATTGACAGGCTCAATTAAGGTAAAGATAGATTTGTCAGGGAAGATATTAGCCTGTGACATAACTACTCACAATAAACTATTTTTTAGTTTTAAAAAAGTTTTAATTTCAGATCACCCTTTGTTTTTACTTTAGGTCTCTGAGTTTGCAAGGGTGCCACACAGGCCTTCCCTGAGCTAGTCAGGTTAGCATGTGGCCCTTTTTGGTCCACACATCTTCTTTTTGTCATAAA